ATGGACCATCCCATGGAGGTTTCTGAAAATACATTCTCCAAGTGTTCCCACAAGAGTAAAATTTCCTAATGATGCCATTCTCTCAACCCATCCCTACCACCAAACAACTCGAGTATACATATTTTTTTCAGTTCTGGGAACCAATTCCAGGACTCAGTTCTGTTCATAGTTCTGGTCTGTTTTTGTTTGTTTGTTTGTTTGTTTGTTTTCGGTTTTTTTCCTCTGGGGGAGGGGTGTTGGAGACAGGATTGTAACCTTGGATGTCCTAGAACTTTCTATGTAGACCAGGCTGGCTTTGAATTCTTGGAGATCCATCTGCCTCTGCCTCTGACTCTCATCAGGAGGCTGAGGCAGGAAAACAGAGAATTTGAGGCCAGCTTAGGCAACATAATAAGACTTTCTTTCAACACAGGACAGCCAGGACTACACAGAGAAACCCTGTCTCCGAAAAAAACAAGGGGGGGTGGTGGTGGTGGAAATAGTGTAGCAACAGAGGACCATTCTAGCATATAAGGGGCCCTGGTATCAATCCCTGGTACTAGAAAGAAAAAAAATGTGAAAATGTGGAGAAAGGAGAACTTGTATACTCTTGGTAGAGGTACAACTTGTACAGCCATATGGAAAACAATATGAAATACTTTAAAATACTCCAAACAGAACTACAGTTTGACCCTGCAAACCCCAATACTGGGCATACATCTGATGGAAAGGTATCCAGCTAATGGGAAAAGATGCCCATGGTTTGGTTTGTTCTGATTGTTTGGGACAGGGTCTCACTATATTGTTCAGGCTGGTCTCAAATTCGATATTCTCCTATCTCAGTCTCTTAAGTGCTGGGACTGTAGAAGTATGTCATCACTCTTGGCTTTCCATGTTTCTTTCAGCATTATACACAATAGCTAGAATACAGATTCAGCCACAATGTCTATCAGTTAATAATGGAGAAGGAAAATGTATATAAACACAATGAAATATAATTCTGGAATAAAAAAAAGAAAATCCTGACATTTGCAGCAACATTCAGGAACTGACAGTTATTTTGTTGGGTAAATTAATTCAGTCACAAAAAAAGACAAATACCACATGCTCACTTTAAAATGTTTTTTTTGGGGGGGGGGCTGCAGGGATGGCTCAGTGGGCTCTCTTCAGAGACTCCAGCCTTTTGCGGGGGGGCTGCAGGGATGGCTCAGTGGGCTCTCTTCAGAGACTCCAGCCTTGCTACATAGTGCCAAGAAAGCTGCTCTCCAGGACCTCTCCGTGACTTCAAATCCAGTACCACATGGGTGACTCATACTACCAAGTTCAGTTGCCAGCATGAGGCACAACCTTGGCCATCTCTGGAACGAAGCTTTCTGTGTGCTGACCCTAAGGAAACACTTCCCAGAAGGCTTCACCTCAGTGATTTGGTCATTTTTTTTCTAAATTCGATTTTATTCTATTTTTTCTTTTTTTACATTTTCCCTCCTCCCCTTCCATCCTCCCCTTTCTCCTTCTACCTTCCTCTCCCTACCCCTCATGCTCTCAATTTACTCAGGAGATCTTATCTTTTTCCCTTTCCTAGCAGATCCATGTATGTCTCTCTTAGGGTCCTCTTTGTTACCTAGGTTCTCTGGGTTGTGGCCTGTACTCACTTATGAGTACATATTATATTTGTCTTTCTGGGTCTGGATTTCTTCACTCAGGATGGCTTTTTCTAGTTCCATCCATTTGCCTGTAAATTTCAAGATATCATTGTCTTTTTTATGACTGAGTAGTATCCCATTGTGTTGATTCCAGGTTCTGGATATTACAAATAATGCTGCTATGAACATACTTGAGCAAATGTCCTTGTGGTGTGAGTGTGCATCCTTTGGGTATATGCTCAAAAGTGGCATAGCTGAGTTCTGTGGTAGATGGATTCCCAATTTTCTGAGAAACCACCATACTGATTTCCAAAATGGCTGTACAAGTTTGCACTCCCACCAGCAGTGGAGGAGTGTTCCCCTTTCTCAACATCCTCTCCAGCATAAGCTGCCATTGGAGTTTTTGATCTTGGACATTCTGACAGGTGTAGTATGGTATCTCAGAGATGTTTTAATTTGCATTCCTCTGATGACTAAGGATGCTGAGCATTTCCTTAAGTGTCTTTTGAGATTCCTCTGTTGAGAGTTCTGTTTTTAGATCTGTACCCCATTTTTATTGGATTATTTGATCTTTTGATGTCTAACTTCTTGAGTTCTTTGTAGATTTTGGAGATCAGTCCTCTGTCAGATGTGGGTTGGTGAACATCTTTTCCCATTCTGTAGGCTGCTGTTTTGTCTTGTTCACCTTGTTCTTTGATTTACAGAAGCTTCTCAGTTTCAGGAGGTCCCATATATTAATTGTTGCAATCTCCTGTGCCAATGTGTTCAAGGCTACTTCTCACTTTCTCTTCTATGAGGTTCAGTGTGGTTGGTTTTATGTTGACCCATTTGGACTTGAGTTTTGTGCATGGCGACAGATATGGATCTATTTGCATTCGTCTACATGTGGACATCCTGTTTGTTATGCCAGCACCATTTGTTGAAGATGCTTTCTTTTTTCCATTTTATAATTTTAGCTTGTCAAAAATCAGGATCTTTGATTCTATTCCATTGGTCCACCTGTCTGTTTTTATGGACCTGTTTTTTCTTAATAACACCTGATTATTTTGACCCATTGTTCCAGCAAAACAAAGGTTTTACTTTAGTTGTTCTGGTCTCTTGTTAAACACAGAAAATTCAACTCTAGCTGACCAGACACCTCAGATTCTTCACACAAAAGGCCTCGTCAAGTGCTTCCCTCTGAAACGTCACAAGCCAGGCCTCCACCTCCATCATCTGCACTGCTCTCAACATTCTTTTTGTTTTGTTTTGAGACAGGGTTTTTCTGTATTGTTTTGGAGCCTGTCCTGGAACTTGATTTGTAGACCAGGCTGGCCTTGAACTCACAGAGATCCGCCTGTCTCTGCCTCCCTAGTGCTGGGATTAAAGGCCTTGCTCTCAACATCCTTATCTTCCAAGCTCATACAGAATATCCCACTAAGCTCACAACACTCAATGGCTTTTCTAGTCCAAAGTTCCAAAGTCCTTTGACAATCCTCCCAAAAAATATGGTCAGGGCTATCATAGCAATACCTCACTATGATGGTACCAACTTGTCTTAGTGAGGGTTGCTATCACTGCAATAAAACACCATGACCAAAAAGCAAGTTGGGGAGAAAAGGGTTTATTTAGCTTACATTTCCATATCAATATTCATCATTGAAAGAAGTCAGGACAGAAACTCCAGCAGGGCAGGAACCTAGAGGCAGGAGCTGACACAGAGGATTTGAAAAGGTGCTGCTCACTGGCTTCCTCTCTGTAGCTTGCTCAACTTGCTTTCTTATAGAATTCAAGACCTCCAGCCCAGGTATAGCCTCACCCACAATGGGATGGACCCTCCCCATCAATCACTAATTAAGAATATGCCCTACTGGCTTGTCCACAGCAGGATCTTATTATAGAGGCGGTTTATTTTCTTTTTCTTTTCTTTTTTGTCTTTTGAGTCAGGGTTTCTCTGTGTATCCCTGGCTATCCTTGAACTCTCTCTGAAGATCAGGGACTGGCCTCGAACTCAGATATCCGCCTGCTTCTGCCTCCAGTGTGCTGGTATTAAAGGCTAGCGCCACCACCACCACCACCACGGCCACCGCCGGTCAGTTTGCTGCATTATTAACTGATGTTGTCAAGTGCCAGAGTAAGATATTTTCCACAGTTATTTCGGGAAATATTCTGGGCATTTTTCAGAGCATTGCAACAACCAGGATGCTGTCTGGGCTTTATCTGACCTTAAAAAAACTGTCTAGGACAGATGAGGTCCACAGCTTATTCTAGATTTCCACTGGTCAGATCGCGTTCTCTGCTGAAGCCTGCCTGTCTAGCACCCCCTCCATGAGTTTGCATCTTTACAGGATTTGCTGAACCTGCGATTGCACGCTGGGTCATCGATTGCTGCTTAGCAACATCAAATCCCACTGCTTTGATTATCATCATTATTATGTACTTTCGAAAATTTTTGAACAGATACAGGGAGGCTTTGAATGTAGCAAGTCAACCCAGAAGATCGACGAACAAAATCCGATATAAACTGATGTCCAGTTTCAAATATGTTTTCGTTTAAAGGACTCATCTTAGGACATGAATAAAATTCAGTAATGTGTATCTGCGCCTCGTTTTTTAATACCTAATTTTATGCCCTCCCAGTCACAACCAAGATGTTATCTCCTGGTTTCCTTTCCTGGGAAGCTTTTTCCCCCTTCCAAAGTATGTCTTCTCTAGCTCAGAACCTATTTAGAGAAAAGGCAACCTGAAGCCCTCTTTGGGAAGAAAAACAAGATAAAAATATGAATCTGATTCTGAGACTGCATTGCGATGTGATTGGAATGAGTAATAGTTTCTCATTCTGCCTAGATTTCTCTCCACCTATCAAACGTTGGACTGTGCCATGTCTGCCTCGGTGAGGCGATATTACGACACGACCAGCTAACTCAAAAAGCACCTTACAGAGGGGGGAATCTCTATATATTGTGGCTTTCACTTTTCTTTGGAGTCCCAGGCGGGTACGCGTCAGACAAAAGACATCAACTAGAATTTATGATTAAAAAAATCATTTGCAGCTTATGGAAGCACAAAGAAACCTCGGTGGTTAAAACATAACCTGTCAACTAGAAAACATTCACATAAAGAACCAGGAGTTGGGGGGAGACGAGGCACTATTAATCCGCAGTCTGGGCTGCAGTGGCGTGCGGAGTCTGGCGCTTAGCCACGCCCCTTACGTCAGGTTTCTACCCCGCCCTCCTCCGCACTCACATACACCCCCCCAGAGGCTCGCCCCACCCGCGGGGCCAGTCACGCTGCGTCCTTTCCTGCGGGAACGCTGAGGAACAGTTCTTGCGCCTGCGCATTGCGTCTCTGCGCGCCTCCGCGGCCACCGCCCGCGCGTCCTCGGGCCCTTTATGCGCATGCGCGCTCGCACTCCTCTCCCCGCGGAGCACGGTTGAGTCAGGCAGTCTGTCGGAGTCAGTCTTCGCAACAGCCTTCGCCCGGTACCTGGGAGAGCCAGCTGCTGGATTATTCTGCGTCCCCTCCCACTCTCCGGTCCCGCGTCTCTCTTCACCTCTCTCCCGCCCTCGCTCGTACAGCCATGGCGGAGTCGTCGGCGGCCACTCAGTCCCCGTCAATCTCCTCGTCGTCCTCC